ATAAGGAGTTGTTTGTCACAGACCACAGCGGAGCCAGCGCCATCTTGTAATGGCGACCATAGTCTGCAGAAACGGCAGAAGCGGCTCACCACAGCAGCACATGGATCCTTCTCAAAAATAGACCATATATTATGCCATAGGGCAACTCTAAGCAATTATAAAGGAGTAGAGATACTACTATGCATCTTATCTGATCATAATGGAATGAAACTGGAAATCATCAATAAAACAAGAAGGGAAAAACCCTACATGACTTGGAGAATGAACAATATGTTACTGAACAATCAATGGGTTACAGAAGACATCAAGGAGGAAATTTAAAAATTTATTGAGATAAATGAAAACACAGACACAACATATCAGAATCTATGGGACACAATGAAAGCTGTTCTAAGAGGAAATTCATTACTTGGAGCTCATTACTCAAAAAAAGTAAAAACCAACAAATAAATGATCTCACACTTCATTTCAAAGCCATTGAAATAGAAGAGCAAAACAACTGCAAATGTAGTAGAAGGCAAGAAATAATTAAAATCAGAGCTGAAATCAATGAAATTGAAATAAGAGAAACAATTGAAAAAATTGACAAAACTAAAAGTCGGTTCTTCGAAAAAATAAATAAGATCGACAGACCCTTAGCTATTCTAACGAAGAGTTTAAGAGAGAGAACTCAAATTATTAGCATACAGGATGAAAAAGGCAATATCACAACAGACACTACAGAAATACAGAAGATAATTAGAAATTATTTCAAAACTTTATACACCAATAAAATATATGATAGTGAAGGCATCGATAAATTTCTTAAGTCATATGATATGCCCAGATTGAGTCAAGAGGATATACACAACTTAAACAGATCAATATCAATTGAGGAAATAGAAGAAGCCATTAAAAGACTACCAAACAAGAAAAGCCCAGGACCGGATGGGTATACAGCAGAATTTTACAATACCTTTAAAGAAGAACTAATACCAATACTTCTAAAGCTATTTCGCAAAATAGAAAAAAAAGGGAATACTTCCAAATTCATTCTTCAAGGCCAACATCACCCTGATTCCTAAACCAGACAATGACACTTCAAAGAAAGAAAACTACAGACCAATATCTCTGATGAATATAGATGCAAAAATCCTCAATAAAATTCTGACAAATCTGATACAAAAATATATCAAAAAGATTGTGCACCATGATCAAGTAGGATTTATCCCTGGGATGCAAGGCTGGTTCAATATATGGAAATGAATAAATGTTATTCACCACATCAATAGACTTAAAGATAAAACCATATGATCATCTCGATAGATGCAGAAACAGCTTTAGACAAAATACAACATCGCTTTATGTTCAAAACATTAGAAAAACTAGGGATAACAGGAACTTACCTCAACATTGTAAAAGCTATTTATGCTAAGCCTCAGGCTAGCATCATTCTAAATAGAGAAAAATTGAAGGCATTCCCTCTAAAATCTGGAACAAGACAGGGATGCCCTCTCTCACCACTTCTATTCAACATAGTTCTTGAAACCCTGGCCATATCAATAAGACAGATGATAGAAATTAAAGGCATAAAAATAGGAAAAGAAGAACTGAAATTAGCACTATTTGCAGTGACATAATCCTATACCTAACAGACCCAAAATGTTCTACCAAAAAAGTTTTAGAACCAGTAAATGAATTCAGCAAAGTGGCAGGATATAAAATTAACACTCATAAGTCTAAGGCATTCCTGTATATCAGTGACAAACCCTCTGAAAGGGAAATCAGGACAACCACCCCATTCACAATATCTTCAAAAAAAATAAAATATTTGGGAATCAACCTAACAAAAGAGGTGAAAGACCTTTACAGCGAAAACTACAGAAAACTAAAGAGGGAAATAGAAGAAGACCTTAGAAGATGGAAAGATATACCTTGTTCATGGATAGGCAGAATTAATATCATTAAAATGGCCATACTATTAAAAGTACTCTATAGGTTTAATGCAATGCCAATCAAAATCCCAATGACATTCCTCTCAGAAATAGAAAAAGCAATAATGAAATTCATCTGGAGAAATAAAAGACCCAGAATAGCTTAAGCAATTCTAAGCAAGAAGAGCAAAAGAGGTGGTATACCGATACCAGGTTTCAAACTATACTACAGAGCAATAGTAACAAAAACAGCATGGTACTGGTACCAAAACAGGCGGGTAGACCAATGGTACAGAATGCAGGACACATAGACCAATCCACAAAATTACAACTACCTTATATTAGACAAAGGTGCTAAAAGCATGCAATGGAGAAAGGGTAGCATCTTCAACAAATGGTGCTAGGAAAATTGGAAATCCATATGCAACAAAATGAAATTGAATCCCTTTCTCTCACCATGCACAAAAGTTAACTCAAAATGGATCAAGGAGCTAGGATTCACACCATAGACTCTGCATCTAATAGAAGAAAAAAGTTGGCCCTAATCTCCATCTCGTGGGGTCGGGCTCCAAATTCCTTAATAGGATACCTATAGCACAAGAGTAAAAATCAAGAATCAACAAATGGGACATATTCAAACTAAAAAGTTTTTTCTCAGCAAGAGAAATAATAAGTGAGGTAAATAGGGAGCCTACATCCTGGGAACAAATTTTTACCCCTCACACTTCAGATAGAGCGATAATCTCCAGAGTATACAAAGAACTCAAAAAGTTAAACAACAAAAAAACAAATAACCCAATCAACAAATGGACAAAGGACCTGAACAGACACTTCACAGAGGAGGACATACAATCAATCAATAAGTACGCCAAAAAATGCTCACCATCTCTCGCTATCAGAGACATGCAAATTAAAACCACTCTAAGACACCATCTCACTCCAATAAGAATGGCAGTTATTATGAAGTCAAACAATAACAAGGGCTGGCGAGGATGTGGGGGAAAAGGTACACTTGTTCATTGCTGGTGGGACTGCAAACTGGTGCAGCCAATTTGGAGGGCAGTATGGAGATTCCTTGGAAAGCTGGAAATGGAACCACCATTTGACCCAGCTATTCCCCTTCTCGGACTATACCTGAAAGACCTATAAAGAGCGTACTACAGGAACACAGCTACATCAATGTTCATAGCAGCACAATTCACAATAGCTAGACTGTGGAACCAACCCAAATGACCTTCAACAGATGAATGGATTTAAAAAATGTGGCATTTATACACAATGGAGTATTACTCAGCATTAAAAAATAACAAAATCATGGCATTTTCAGGGAAATAGATGGCACTAGAGCAAATTATGCTAAGCGAAGTTAGCCAATCCCTAAAAAACAAATGCCAAATGTCTTCTCTGATATAAGAGAGGTGACTCAAATCAGAGTAGGAAGGAAGAGCGTGAGAAGAAGATTACCATGAAACAAGGAAAAGAGGAGGGTGAAAAAGAAAGGGAAAAGGGGAATTGCACAGGAGAGAGAAGGAGACCCTCATGGGTTCACAAAATACATATACGATGGTGTGAAGGGAAGAAAAAAAGAGAGGGAGGGAGAGAGAGAGAGAGAGATAAGTGTCACAGTAGAATGGGTAGAGAATATTGATGGGAGGGGGGGGGGATAGAGAGGGCAGCAGAATACAACTGAACACTAGGATTGCTGTATGTATTCACATGGATGTATAACCAATGTGATCCTGCAATCTGTACACGTGGAAAAACGAGAATTCATACCCTATTTGAATCAAATGTATGATATGTCAAGATCATTGCATTGTCTTGAGCAACTAATAAAAAAAATCCCATGTTAACAGAAAGTATTATGTTTGGGGCAGTATATTTGCAAGAGTGAAAAATTTCGAAACATATAAGCAACCATCAATAAAGACTAGCAAAATAAATAGGGTATGTCGGTATAAATTTTAAAAAGGGGACACACCTGTCTCTAGTACAGCTTGTATGCTGCTATTTAAAAAACCTCCAGTACACAAAGTTGAATGGGAAAGGCAAGTCGAAATACAATGCATATGGTTTTGTCAAGTTAATACTTCTAGTATAATATTGTATCTTTTACAGGTGCAAGGTGAAGAGCCTGAGTTTAGGAGCAGTGATTTAAAAATATAACAACCCCATTAGTAATGAGATTTTTTTCAATAGATTTTTTAATATAATTTGTTACAAACATCAGCTTAGGGCTTATGAGGGAGAACACATATCATATTCATAACAGATGAGATTTCTGCAAGTGAATGCAGATTGGGCCAGGAAGCAATACAGAATTTGGTGTAACCTGGGGGTAGTAGGGACATTCAAACCTACATTGTATGCATGGAACACTAGTACACTTAAAAATAAAGACTGCAAAGAATATGGTGTCTTCCGGGTATTCAAAAGAATAGTTTGATTTTTCACAGCAATTACCCATTTTATTTCAATGTGATTATGAAAAGATAAATACAGAAAAAATAATGCTAAAATTTGTAACACACAATAGTAGTATGGGGACCAGGTGGCTCTGCAGGGCCTGCCTTCTCAGACTTTCCAGGTGTGAGTGTTGGGAATGCCAAGTCTTGCCTCTGGTTGGGGACACGGTGCTTTTGGTGGAAATGAAACAGTAAGACACAAACTTACACAGATGCACCTTCTCCCTGCCCCAGAGGAGAGTCATGTGTTGGGCTGTTTGACTTCTCCTGTCCCATCTACTGAAGCCTTGAGTTCTATATTTAATCATGAGCCTTGTTTTCATGTAAGTTACACAAGTAAGTCTAGTGATAGGTAATAACTAGATAAGTCTATTCATTCTGAACCATGGTCCTTACAGGGCAAGAAGACCAGGAGAATGATCCTTCATGCTTGAGGCTTCTAATACACAATGTCCCACCTTCCTGTCTTGAAAGATGGGAGTCACCCCCAGGAGATCTTCAGCACAATTATTACCCAAACTAAGCAAACATTTGGCAACAAACCTCTGAGAACTGAGAAATTCACCAGGGAACTGATCGGAGAAAGAAAGCACCCAGACCATGATTTCCTCTCTGTGGTCAACTTCGTCACAAGTCATATTTAAACAGGAAGCATTCTTAACTCCAACCAGAACCAGAAGTCCTCCATCACTGGGCTGGCTGGTCTCGGCACCATGAGGAGCGGATGTCTAAGACTGGTCCACGGTAAGTGGGATCCTGAAATGTGTGTGACAAGCAAGAAAGGGAGCTAGGAGCCACCAGAAAGTCCTTTGCTTCATTTCTGCCTGGTTTTCTCACTGTCCCTGTTAGGGAGAGCAGGCAGGGTATTTGTAAAGAATCTCAGCTCTTTTTTTTTTAATTATTAAGTTCTCAAAGAAGAAAGTTGTTATTACAAAGTTCCTCCCTAGCTCAAACTTTAGGACATAGTGGGCATTTGTCCATTGGGCTCTCTGGATAAACAGGACCAATGGGGCACTACAGAGAGAGGGTAAGATGGTTATTTTTTGGACATGGCTCATGCAATTGTGCAGGCTGAGAAGTCCAGACTCTGCCAAGTAGGTGCAGGATGGAGACCAGGGAGGAGGTGGCAGGATGGAGACCAGGGAGGAGCTGATGTTCCATCTCAGGTCCAGAAGCAGTCTGGGCCAGAACTCCGTCCTCCTCAGGGGGCCAGTCTTGGTCTCTTAGGGCCTCCATGGGTTAGATGAGCCCCCCACAGGAGAGGGGATCCTGCTTTCCTTGCAGTCTTCACATTCAGTGGGGTCTCCTCTGATGAAGGCCTCACGGCAATGTTTAGAGCCTGAGCAGCTGTCCAGGCAGCGCATTAGATAAACTGACCAAGAAGGAACCACCAATACCCCTAGACTTTATTTTAGGGATTGAGAACCAGACTCTCTTTGACTCCTCGCCTGTCTCTCTGTTAAAGAGCAAGAGGCTCATGTACCTAAGGCCCCATTGATTGAGGAGGGTCCCCAGGATGTGCCCTGGGAGGGGGCAGCTGCTGAGAGGCAGGAACAGCAGGAGGAGGCCCCCAGCCTGAGCCCAGCACCTGCCCACAGCACCTTCCTGTTGGGGGGTAATAGGGCACCACGGGGTCCCAGGACAGGCCATGGGGCTGACAGTGGTGGTGTCAGATGTGGCTCTCAGGTGCTCCAACCACAGCTGCAGGCCAGGTGGCTGGTGTGGTGTGTGTCCCTGAGGAAGGGGACAGGGCCAGAGCACCTGAGAAACCAGGTAGGGGACCTGAGAGAACAGCTGGCCCTGACCCTCCCTTCCCACCTAAAGGTCAGCGATGGTAGTAAACACCCTGACACACTGGGGTTTGTTCCCATGACCCTAGGACGTGGGTGTCATCTTGTCCCCACTCTACAGAAAGGGAAACTGAGGCAGGGCAGTGAGGCAGCCTGCCTGTGCTCCAGGGTCTGAACCAGGGCCACCAGGCTCCAGTCCCCCACCCACAGGCCAGGAGAGCCACGGCTGGAGCCCAGAGCTTGCCAGGCTCAGCCCCCTTCCCATCCCCCAGACCCTCTGGGAGGCGCCACCTGGGCTCCCTCTGAGGAGTGGACCAGGTCTGAGCCCAGGAGGGTCCACAGCCCCTGCCCTCCAGTGCATCACCTCCAGCCTCCTCTGCCTGCTGGGCCGCTGACCTGCCCTCTCTGTGTCACAGGGCTGCTGTGTGTCCTGCTGAGTCTCTCCAGAGCCAGAGCCCAGGGCTCTCAGGGTGAGTGTGGGGGGAGCAGCCTGTCCACAGCCTGAGCCTGGGAGGGGCCCTGCACCCGCAGCCCAGGGAGGAGAGGCCTGGGCAGGGAGGCTCAGGGCATCTCCCCACCTCCTAGGACCCTCCTCTGGGGACCACATTGCCCCTTCCCAGCCTCTAACCAGTCTGTGCCCCCACAGCCTGTAACCCCCGGTGCCCTCCTAACTCGGAATGTGTCAATGCCACTGCCTGTCGCTGCAAGCCAGGGTTTGCCTCTTCATCTACAGAGATCTTCACTGACCCCCTGGAGATCTGTGATGGTAAAGAGGATGGGGGAGGGGCAGGGCACATCAGAGACTGCGGGTGCCCAGTGCAACTGTGGTCATGGGTAAAGTTCAAGGGCTGAGCTTTTGACCTCAAGGCCATCATCAAAGACAAAAAAGATAAAGGAAAGAGTAAGATGGCAGAGAGACCAGGAAATCACATGGCTTCCTGCTCAGAGAGGACCTGGGCCCCAGGAGTTGGTCTCAGCCTGCCCTTAGGTCTGGGGAAGGTGACTCTCAGCTTATAACCCACCCCCAACCTTGGCATTGTCCCCTGTGTCCAAACTGGGAGTGTCAGCCAGAGGACTGAGTTGAACAGAGCAGACTGTGTGGTCTTCAGGAAAGGCTTGCTCCAGGCAAAGCACAGTCTCAGCAGTGAATCCCAAGATTCTCTCCAATAGATACTAACTCCACATGAAACCCCATGCTGGGTGGCCAGCTAGGGAACAGGAGTCTCTTGCCTGAGAGACCACACACCTTTGGGAGGTGACCCTTGTTCCTGTTATGTTGCAGACATCAATGAATGTGTGCCACCCATGAAAGTGTCCTGTGGAAATTATTCTGACTGCCAGAATGTGGAGGGGAGCTACTACTGCATGTGCAGCCCAGGCTATGGGCTCCTTTCTGGGGCAAAAAAGTTCACTAATGAGAGAGAGAACACATGTCAAGGTAAGGCCTGACCCTCACCCCGACCCCACATGCAGTTCAGGGCACCAGAGCTGATCTGGGGACAGCACTCAGTTATAGCCTCAGCGCCTGGACTGTGAGATGGGGCAGCTGTGCGTGCACGTGTCACCAGCACCAGAGGCAGGGGAGGGTCAGGGCACTCTAGGACCAGCTGCTTGGCCCCAATCTGATATCTCTTCCCATGATGATGGCCAGGGTGCTTATCAGGAAACCCTGTGGGCATGTGAGATGTCACAACATCATTGGTGTTTTCTGTTAAAAAAAAAAAAAAGCCAGGCACAGTGGCCTGTGCCTATGGTCTCAGCTACTTGGGAGGCTGAGGCAGGAGGATCACTGGAGCCCAGGAGTCCAACCCAGCCTGGGAAACAGAAACACCCCATGTCTGGGGTGGGGGGAAGTGAGGGAGAGAGAGAAAAGAAAAAGAAAACCACAGGAAGGAGCCCCTATCTTCTAAAGCTACAAACAAAGGTAGAGGCTGGGGTGTGGCTCCTGGGCAGACAACTTTCCTGGCATGAGCAGGGCCCTGGGCTCCCTCCCCAGCACTGCAGAAAATCAAAACCAAAACCAGAGGTAGCTTTGCTCTTGGTTCACTGCGTGACTTCAGACAAGTCACCTCACCTCTCTATGCTTCAGTGTGTCCATCTGCAGAAGGGGAGTCATGGACTCGAGCATATGTCAGTGGTAGAGCACTTGTCTAGCAGGTGCGAGTCCCTGGCTCAGTCCCCAGCACCAGGGGAAGAAAGGGGGAGAGGGGGTAGTCATAAGGAGGGGATTGAGATTCAAAGGCACTGAGCAGGTTCTGACTCCCAGAAAGGGCTGTTAGCAATGGCTTCTGAGCTGAACAGGGCCTGGGCCACAGGAGTTGTGCTCACCTGCCCTTAGGTCTGGGGGGATGAGGAGCTTCCACTCCACGCCCACTTCAGCATTGTCCCCTGGATCCAGGGGTGTCAGCCAGAGGACTGGGACAGAGGTATCCTGTGGCATCCAGGGGCCAAGGCCCTGGTTGACACAGGTGGTGCCCACTCCAGGCCACTGTCCCACCAGCACAGAGAGGGAGGGTGGTATGAAGGCCAAGGTCAGAGGCAGGGATAAGCTCCCTGGGTCCAAAGCCTGGACTGGCCATCTGTGAGGAGCATGGGAGCAGCAAAACCATTTCCTCTCTTGGAGCCCTCCTTGCATCTGCCCCCAGGAGCCTGGAGCCCCAGAGATCCCTGAGGTGGGGGCTCTCAGTGGCTCATTACTGGGGAACCCAGGGACCTAGGGGGGGAGGCTGTGCCCAGGATGTGGGGGAAATGTGGGAGTTGGTGGAAGGTCCCCTGTGGGTGCTGCTGCACCTCATTCCCAGCTGTCCCCATGCGACACCCACCACCTTATCCCCTCCACCTATGGCACACATATGCAGCTATTGCTACCAGGTGGGAACAGGGGAGGGGACTGTGATCACACCCTGGGGGCTGGAAGGGGCCCTTAGGCGTCAGCCCCTGTCCTGGCCCGTCCTGCTATTGATCCACACAGCCTGGATGAGGGGTCCCAGCAGGGTACCCTCAGGTGCAAAAATGGGTCCAGGAGACCAGAAGCCCTCCCTGCCTCATCCTGACCCCAGGAATCCTCTGGGCTCAGGGAATCTTTGGCCCATTTCTGGGACACCCAGGGCTGTCTGCCATGAGCTGTCACTCACTCCTGTCTTGGGTTCTCTGAGGCTGCTGTGTTGGCCATTCACCTCAGGCCTCTGTCCTGTGGGTCCCTGTGGCACTCAAAGGGGACCTGCTTCCTGAGCATGTTCCCCTCACGTTTAGAGACCAGGAGAGATAAGACGCCAGGAAACACCCCCGGGCCTCAGCTGGGAGCTGCTTCCAGAAGCTTCCTCATTTCCTGTCTGTGGCCATCTCTGATAAGGGGGAACTTCCTCCAGGGGTGGTGACAGCAAGACTCCCCAGAGACAAGCTGGGCACCTTGGAAAGGCCTGTCAGTGTCCACCCACAGTTCTGAGTGCCACACTAGGAGCTGGGGGATTCCTGGGGACGATCAAGGGGGCAGGTGGGACCTGCTGGGGCCTGGGCACCTGGGGCTTTTGGTTTTCTAGTTGTTTGTTTTTGTCCTGGGGACCTAACCCTGGGGCCTTATCACTAACCACATCCCTGGCAGCTGCCGGCTGCCCGCATCCTGCCCCTCTTCTTCCTCTTGCAGACGTGGACGAATGTAAGCAGAACCCCAGAATCTGCAAGGGCCGCAGCACCTGCACCAACACTCAGGGCAGCTACACCTGCCAGTGTCTGCCTGGCTTTGAGATCAACCCAGAGGACCCGAAGCTGTGCACAGGTAGGGGCCCCAGGAGGACCCCTGAGGGTGGACAGGAGCCGGGGGTGCAGCAGAGGCAGGTCCTGTGCCCAAGGAAGTAGAAGACCTGCAGGTTCCCACAGGTCAAGGGGCTCAGGCTCAGCCTAAGGGAGGCTGCAGGGCCATCTGGGCCTCAGCTCTTCCCTGGTCTGTCAACTGAGAATAGAAGAGAGTCACTTTCAGTTCTGACAAGGAGCCTCCATCATGGCCAGAAAGAGGGCGACCAGAGTCCTTGGTCAGGAGGTCCCACCCCCTGGCTCAGTTTCCCTCCTGGCACCTGTAAACTGGAGACCAGGGTCATCACTGTGTCCTTCATGCAGGGAGGCCACCTGAGGTGCTCTGAAGGTGAAGCTGAAGGTCGCTAGTTAGGTACATGTTGAGGTCCTTGGTTTGTGGCGGCAACAAGATGGAGAAGTGGGTGCAGTGAGCGGGGGTGTGGGAGCGGGTCAGGGGCGGGGACTGACCCCTGCTTTGTCCTAGATGTGAATGAATGCACCTCTGGACAAAACCCGTGCCACAAATCCACCCACTGCCTCAACCAAGTGGGCGGCTACCAGTGCCGCTGCCGACCTGGCTGGAAGCCGGTCCCCGGATTCCCCAACGGCCCCAACAACACCGTGTGCGAAGGTGCGGGCTCAGAGGCCACACTCAGAGGCCCGCAGACCAGCCGGGATCGCAGCCCTCCCGGGCAAACTGACCACGTCCAGTGCTGCGACACCTGCGCCTGCTCCAGCTAATGCTCCAGGGGCTGGACACAGACAGATGGGGTCCTGGGGGGAGGAGCTAGGGTCTGACAGGAGGTTCCCGGGGCCCCGGGCTACAGCTAGTGACTAACTGGGTGACGAGTTTCCACAGCCTCACAACCTGAACCTGCAAAGGGCAGACTTGGAGCGCACAGGGCCTCGCACACCCCTTGATCTGGCGCCCACCTCACAAGGGTGTGGGTCTCCAGGTGGCCGCACCACAGTCCAGGCAGGGCACTGATGGCGGGAAGAAGGGAATGGAGTTCAGATGGCAGAGAGCACTGGTCGTGGCTCAGGTGGGGACCAAACTCTCTGTCTGTGTCCCCAGATGTGGATGAGTGCAGCTCCGGGCAGCATCAGTGCCACCAGTCCACCATCTGCACCAACACCCTGGGATCATACCAGTGCCACTGCCGCCCAGGCTGGGAGCTGATTCCTCGGAGAATCAATGGCCGGAACAGCACCATCTGCAAAGGTACCCAGCCTGCCCTGACCCCAGAACCTCCCCCACCCCACACACACGTGCACACCCACGTGCACATGCTCAAACACACCCACACACGCACACGTGCACACCTCCTAATGAACCACTGTCCTGTCCCTGCAGTCATGCCGTTCTTCACCTGGCCTCTGCCCCCTGGAGTCCACAGCCAGGTGAGCGCCTCAGCCAGGACAGGGAGGTGGGAATCACTAGGGCAGCACCCTGTCCACCCCTTGACCCTGAGCTTCCCACCCACCAGTGACCCCTCATCTCACCTCCCCAGAGTCTCTCCCGCTTCTTTGACAAAGTCAACAATCTGCACAGGGATTTCAAGCCAGTCGAGGCCAAGGACACCATCCAGGTAAGGGCAGGATCCAGGGGAAGTAGGGGGAGACCTCCCATAGAGGGGGGGCAGCTGTGGTCTGGGGGAAAGGGAACAGGCCCAAGCACAGTGGGGTCCTGCTCTGAGCTGGCCACTCTCCCAGGGCAGGTGGAATAGGACACTGGGAGCCACACACACTGTTGGACGCCCACGTGCACTGTCTGTCCTCTTGCTCTCATCCTGGTCTTGGGTTTTGTCATCCTTGACAATCACAAACCAGGGCTGACCTCTGAGGAGCAAGGACGACACAGGGAGTCCCAAACCATGCTCTCTCTATCCCCAACTGGACAGTGTCTGGGTCTGCTCTCTGGGGCTGAGTACTCAAGCTCTTCATGTGGACCTTCTGGCCCAAGTCCACCTGCTCTGTGCCCCCATCCCTCCAGAGGATCATGCAGGATGTGGATGAGCTGTTGGAGACCCCTGGGGACCTGGAGAACCTGCCCCCCTCACAGAAGCACTGTGTGGCCACTCACCTGCTGGCAGACCTGGAGAGTGACCTGAGACACCTGAGCAGGGGTCTGCCTGAGGGGACAGCAACCTTCAATTATTCTGCAGGCACACGTAAGTCCCTGGGTCTGCACCAGCCCCTGTTCCTAGCCTCATCCTCTTCTGATCCCACTAGAGCTGAGTGGCAACACTGTACCTCAGTGACTCACATAAATAATCACAACAGTGAAAAAGGCAGAAAACCAAAAATAGTACACATTTACAGTATAGTATACATTATCAGCAGAAAATGACAATAAGGGATTTTAGGGGGCTGGGGTTGTAGCTCAGTGGTAGAGCACTTGCCTAGAGGCACAGGGTTTGATCCTCAGCACCACATACAAATAAGTGAATAAAGCAAAGGTATTGTGTCCATCTACAACTAAAAAAAAACATTTAAAGAATTTTATGTTACAAAATAGAAACAGCTTCAAAAAACTATTTTGGAGTAATATAAATTAATCTTGCTTGATAAGGTATTCACTGTTTGTGGTAAAATTCACTTAACAATTTCACCAATTAAGTTCACCATTTAAAATCCACCAGTTTGACATTTCAGTGGAATCAAGAACATTCACAAACTGATGCAGCCATCACCTCCATTTCTAAGACAGTTTTCTCCAAAATCAAACACAGTGCCTCCTCGGCTTTCATCCCTCATTCCTCCCCTCCCCCAACCCTGGCATCCACTCACCTGCTTGCTGTCTTAATGGGGCTGCCTATTCCACCATTTAGTAAAAAGCAATCATACAAAGTGTGACCTGTCCCTCTAGCTTCTTTCTCCTAGAATGATCCTGTTGAGCATGGCATAGCATCACTCCATCCCTTTTCATGGCTGAATATGATTGCATCCTATGGGTGTTGAGCTGACCCACTCAGCCACTGATGAACATCTGGGTTGGTTCCACTTCTTGGCTATTGTGAATATTGATGTATAAGTGTTTGTTTGAATAACTCTTCTCAGTGCTTTGGTGTATCTGTAAGGACTGGATTTGGTAGGTAACATGGTAATTCCATGTGTAGTTTTGGGGGAACCACCAGACAGTTTGCAGAGTGGCCACACTATTTCATAGCACCACCAGAGGGTTGCAAGAGTGGCCTCTCCATGGCCTCAGCTAAACATGTTACTTCTGATTCATTTGGTTTTTATCACGGCTGTTCTAGTGCATGTGAGGTGATGTCTCATTACTGGTTGAGTTGCATCTCCCTGGTGACGGGTGATGGTTAGCATCTTTTCATGAGCCTCTGGGCCATTTGTGGATCTTTTTATAGAAATGTCTGTTCAGATCCTTTGTGCATTTGTGATTGGGTTGGTCCTTTGGTTGTTGAGTTGTAAGAGCTTTTCATCTATTTTGACAGGAGATGAGATGTGCACCTTGGAAATGCTTTCTCCATCCTATGGATTATCTCTTGGTCGTGTTCCTCACAACTAAAACACTCAGGGTCGCTCCAGATGAACTGGGCTGCAAGAAATAATCACACAAGAGACAGACATACCTTTTTCTTTGGGGTCCTGTGATAGCTCCTCTGACCTTAGGGGTCCATGGAAAGAGAGGGATCAGGTGCTGACCCCTTTTATTGAGGAGAAGCCATTTAAATGAGTCAAGGGGACAGGTTTCAGGAGGTTGAGTCTAGCTTCCTGATGTCTGCTGTCAGCAAGTTGACTGACATCTAGGAGGGCCACTCCCAAAGGCAGAGCAAGAAAAGGGGCACACAAAGGGTGTTTCCATGAAATATTTCATCTAAAACAGGGCAAAGAGATAGTATCACAAAGGTACAGATGAGCATAGCTCAATCCATGGGGTGACATGCCTACGTCTGAAGACATGTCCTCAAACTCCAGACCAGGACAATGTCCAGGTCACTGTGAGATGTAGTGACCAGTCAAAGCCTCTCCACTCAGGGAAGGACAATGTGAATCATTCAGAGTGGCTGCCACATGTTTTAATATCTTTGGTACCATGTCACTTTAATGTCAGATGTTTTGAATTTTGAGGACGTCTAATTTATCTACTTTCTCCTTCATGGCTTGTACATTCAGTGTCATATCTAACAATCAATTGCTAAATCCAGGGTCAGAAATACACCACTATATTTCTTCCTATGGGCTTCAGTTCTTAGACTTTGTTCTATTTTGAGTTAATCTGTGTGTGTGGTGTGAGGTAGGGGTCCCACTTCCTTCTTTTTCCTTGGATATCCAGTAATCCCTCATCAATCATTGAAGAGACTGTTCTTATGCCCATTGAATAGTCTTGGTCCCCTGGCTGAAAGGCAATTGACCACAGAGGTGTAGGTTTATTTCTGGGTTCACCTTTCCCTCTGTCTTCATGCCAGTACCACGCTGCTTTGGGCTCTGCTCATTTGCCGTCAGTTCTGAAATAAAGAAGTGTGAGTTCTCCCCCTTTGTTGCTCTTTTCAGCCATGCTTTAACTACTTGGATCTCTTGAAATGCTATGTTAGTTTTAAGGTGAGTTTTTCTATTTAAGCAAATTATAATATTAATGGCTGTTGGGACATGGATAGGGATGACATTGACCCTGTAGATCTCTTTGGGGCATGTGGCCGTCTTACCAATATAGTTTCCCCATCCATGAACACAAGGTGTCCTTGTATTCATTTGGGGTCTTTAATGCCTTTCAAATCCCTGTAGTTCTCTATGTACAAGTCCTGAGTCTCTAAGTTAAATTTATTCCTAATATTTTGTAAGAGATTGTTGTGTCTATGTTCATGAGAGATATAGGTCTCTTGTTTTCTTTTCTCGGGATATCTTTATCTGGTTTTGGCATCAGACTAATATTGGCCTCCAGGAATTACTAGATGCTCTCCCCTCTTCTATTGTTTGAAAGAGTTTAGAAAGAATTCAAAGAATTTCTGTTCAGTTTAACATAAAAGGCTGGTAAAATTCACAATCAAAGCCATCTGATCTGGGATGTTCATCAGGGAGGTTTTTCATTATTGATTCAATATTCTTATCCATTAATGTCTCTTCAGATTTTCTACTTATTCTTGAGTCAGTTTGGTAGTTTGTGTGTCCATAAGAATTTATCCATTTCATATAGGTTATATAATTTGTTGGTGCACATTTTGCTCTTACTGTTATAATTTTTTGTAACTTCAGATTTCATATATGTATATGTTTATACACATGTATGCATAACACATATATACACATATACATAAAATCTGAAGAAACAAAGAATTATTATGTACATATATGCATGTATGTGGTTATAGTGAATTGGAACTTACACGTAGGTCCTTGATATATGGACATACCCATGTACATATACAATATTCACATATACACATATATATTCCTAACATAACTCTTCTTATTCCCACAAATCATAGAACTGTCCCTAGAGGTGCAGGAGCGAGGAGATGGCAATGTCACCTTGAGTCAGAATCAGGCAAAGATGCAGCTGAACTGGAATCTGGCACAGGAATCTGCTCACAGAGGTAACATCTGAGATGGGGAAAAGGTGGGATATCCACCTTACACCAGTACCATCCTGTTTGGAAGAGGCCTCAGGATGGAAAAAGATGCCCAAAATACAGAATTAAAGACTAAAGGGTGATGTGGGTGGGAAGAGGTCACTAGAAGAGCATCCAAAGGGGAGGTTCTGGGGAGGGATGAGGCCACATTCTGTTGTGTGCACGTGTGAATGTGGAGCAGCAAGTCCCACTATTATGTATCATTATAATACAACAATTCAAAAGGAGGAGAGGCCATCTAAGGGGGAGGCCCTGGAGGAGACCCTGAGACTCACCCGTGGCCTCGTCCTACAGGCCCTTCTGTGGTGGGCTTGGTCTCCACCCCAGGGATGGCCAAGCTGCTGGCCGAGGCTCCCCTAGTCCTGGAGCCTGAGAAGCAGGTGGCTCCCCATGGGACACACAAGGACTTGCTGCCGAGAGTCTCCTCTGTCCTGCTCTCAGATGTCATCTCAGCCTTTTTGAGCAGCAACAACACCCAGAACCTCAGCTCATCAGTTACCTTCACCTTCTCCCACAATGTGAGTGGGGGGGTGAGGACCAAGGTGTGGGAAGAGCCCCAGGCCCAGGCACACCCTTGTTGTCCTCTTAACCTTGAGGTTCAGCAGGACTCCCCACAGGTGCACCCCACACAGGAAAGCCAGCCCTTCCTGGGTCAGCATCTCTGAGCACAGGAAGACCAGCTCACACCCCTGTCCTGTTACTACAGCTGGTGACACCTGCACCAAGGCATGAGGTGCTCTGTGTCTTCTGGGACCACAGCCAGAATGGATGTGGTCACTGGGCCACTGCAGGCTGCAGAACAGTGGGCACTGGAGATGGCAGCACCACCTGCCACTGTACCCACCTCAGCAGCTTTGCCGTCCTCATGGCCCACTACCACGTGCAGGTGAGAGGCTGCCTTCAGCATTGATTGCTGCAAAACACACTTATGCAAATGTTGTTGCTGAAGTGAAATCAATTTGTTCCCTTGCGGTTTCTGTGGGTCAGCAACCCAGCACAGGGGGATGAGTTCCTTGTACAGATTCTAAAAGACTGACAAGACCACATCAGCCAGGGCCGCAGTCTCTCCTGGGTCTTGCAGCCCTCCTCCAGCTCCCTGGTTGCAGGAAGAGTTCAGTTCCCTTCTCTTAGCAGCTGTCAGGGGGGACCACACTCAGTTCCTAAGAGCCACCCACATTTCCTCTCCTATGGCCCTCTTGTAGATTTTCTCACAAAAACCAGTGTTCCCATCTGAAAACCAGCATGAAAATGTCCATCGTATGGAATCCATCTCAAGTTTTGAAACTGTTTTCCCAAGAAGAGTCCAGATCTTTAAAGCAATTGCCTGATCAGACCAGATCCAGGAGAATAAACTCCCTAATCTAAAAGTCAACAGATAGAGACCCAAATTCCACCTGCAAAATCCCTCTACAGCAACACCTAGTTTATCAGAGAATTGAAGAATTAGAAGAAGGTTTGTGTAACAGCAGGGGGTGGACATACAAAGACCAAGTTAGAATTCTACTTACCACCAGGGTCTGTAAGACAACGGTAATTGGGGTTTCAGGTTTACAAAAAAGGAAGGTCTGGTGAAGTTGAGGTCAGAGGGGGTCAGAAGAGTCAGGGAGGATGGCTGGACCGGGGGCTGTTTACCTCCTCCTCTAGCCAGGTGAGTAGGCAATTCTGCTTCCCCAGGTTCAGACTCTTAGGTGAGCTCACATTATGGGTATTTACTGTGAACACCCTGTGACTGTGAGCATGACAAAAATCTCAGCCAAGTGCCTCCGCCCCAGGAGTCTGCATATTCCAAGACCTCGCTGCCACCTCACCCAGTAGCACACGCTCATGTGTCAACTGCTTCTTTATTCATGCAAGAGGCATGTGTTTACGCTTCAAATTTCAGACTGGATGAGAGAGGAAACATGGCTGGGTCTCCCACCCCCACCCTTAGGCATCGAGTTCCTCCAGCCTCAGACAACCAGGGCTCTCAGTGTCCCCTGCACTCTCCTAGGGCTGTCTCAGGCATATCCACAAAACACCTGTGTTTATTCTTTTTTAGATTATTTTTAAAGATGGACACAATATCTTTATTTGATTTATTTTTTAATGTAGTGCTGAGCATCATACCCAGAACCTCACAAGTGCCAGGCAAGCGCTCTACCGCTGTAACCCCAGCCCCCCTGAGTTTATTCTTTGGTTCTTTTCATCCTCATAATGTTGGCAGCTATATTTGCTCATGTGGTTTACATTTTTTTTTTCTTTACATGTTGGAGATTCTTCAAACGCTGTGTACTAACGGCTTCACCATTACTTCTAAGGACACATTGCATTCCATTGTGTGAATCGACTGTAAATAGACTGTCAAATTCTTATCATTTGTTAACACAAAGAATATTGCAAAAATGTCCACATGCTTCATTTATCTCCTATTTGAGTGTGCATGCAGAATGTCTATTTGTTCTAATTCATGACTGCACATAAATAGACACTGCCACATTTCAACAAAGAGAGGCTGAATCTGGTAACAATCCCACCAGGATTACATGAAGGTGGGTGATGACTTACACCTCACTGCAGGGTTAACTATCAAGTTTTGGGGGTCCTTGTCTATGTGAGAGGTCAATATATCTAGGGAAATACTTGTGTCCTTTTAGCAGGAGTGGAATGGAACATCTTCTTTAAGAACCATTTCTATTTCTGCCTCTGTAAACAATTTTTGCATATCCTTGGTCCATCTTCCTATTGGCTTATTGAAATATGTGCTGTTGATTTTCAGGAGCTTTTTATATATTACGGAAATTAGATTTTGTCTTTATATCAGATGATCTCAAAATTCAACACATGTTAATATCACCTGAAGGACTGTTTATTTTTAAATGCTTTCTTAGGAAGCAATTTCATTTTTTTAGATATGTTTCAAGAACAAAAATAGAATAAACAGATCAGATACTTGGTTAAAGGAAGGAAGTTAATGATAACTTAAAATTTACACTTTCCCACCTATTTCTCCAGGTCCTCTTAAAACCATAAGGAAATGAAAAGAAAACCCACCACCCCATTACTCTTTACCCAGAGCCATCTATTTTGAAAGTTTTGCCTCCATTTCATTTATCAGGTGTCATTCTTTCCCTCTGCTCCTCCCCTGCCTGCCTCCTAATTTCCCAATTTTGTCTTTGCACCAAGGTCTCAAATGTAGCATGCACAAATGTCACCTGCAGGGTTTGTACTTTGTTTTCAAACATTTTCTTGGGAAACCATTTCAAATTGACAGATATGTTGCAAAAACAAAATCCACACAAACAACATCTGTGTGCACTTGATCCAGATGCACCTGCTTTGAAATTTTACCTTCATTGTTTATCATTTGAACATTTCCCCTCCCTCTTTCCTCTTTACTCCTCTTCCCCTCAATTACATTGAAATAGAATTGATGGTGGGCTTTTAAATATCCTCAAGGCTTTAAGATGATTTTCAGAAAGAAGTGGGGGAAAGGTGAATTTTAAGTTACTGTTATCATTAATTTTAATTTTTAAGCAAGAATCTAATTCTAACTTCACAGGGACTTGTGGCCAGTAAGGCACAGGCAGAGCTGGACTGAGGCCAGTGGTGTCTGGGATGGGAGGTTAACACCTGGACCCTGAGGTTCATGTTGTGCCCTGTGGCCTCATGGGACAGGACAGAGGGACCCTCAGCATGGGCTTCACACACACCCACTTACATATCAACAGACACCTTACTGTGCCCCAAAGTCAGGAATCCCGGGTCTCCTCCCTCAGTAAGGATTCTACACATCCGGGCCCTTCTAGCCACTTAGCTGCTCCATTCAGAAAAACTTACAGTCCAACCTTCTGAACCTGGAGCCCCTCCCCCATCAGCTTCACACCTGGACCCGGTCCCTGCATTCCTGAATCTGCTGCACCAAATGACACAGATAGCGGAGGGGTTCCTACCCCACAGCAGGGCACGTAGCTGTGAAGGCTCCTCCCTCTACCCCAGGACGACGACCCCGTGCTGAGCGTCATCACCTGCGTGGGGCTGGGCGTGTCGCTGCTGTGCCTGCTCCTGGCGGCCCTCACCTTCCTCCTGTGCAGAGCCATCCAGAACACCAGCACCTCCCTGCACCTGCAGCTCTCGCTCTGCCTCCTGCTGGCCCACCTGCTCTTCCTCACGGCCATCAACAGAACCCAGCCCAAGGTACCCAGGTGTCCCCGCCCCGCCCTCCCAGGGGTGCTTGAACTCAGGAGCCAGGCTGCCGGGCTCCTAATCAAACAGCCTGGGTCCCAGGGAAGTCCATAGGAGGTCGATGCCCATTTCACGTTGATGGATTCAACGAGAAAATGAACCCTCCTTACAACCCCATCACCTACATCTCTTGTTGCTTAGCAACAGGGCTTGCATTCTGGGGAAGTCCCTTCATTAGGGGACCATGTAGGGTGAACTGACACAAACTATAGATGGCATCCGTCAATCACCATACGTGGCCTCCTGATTCAATCAGGAGACACGAAGGAGGCAACTGGGCAGGTGTCACGCGGCACCCCGTTTTACACCAGACACTTTTTACCAGGAGAAACAGGAGGTTTTTAATTTTTAATTTGGTTAATCGAGTCCTTTGTTTTCAGAATTTCTATTTTATTCGTTTTTAGAATCTGGCTTCATTGAAATGATCCTCCACTTCCTGTATCTTCTCCAGGTTCATCCCTTACGTCTTCTTTCAGCTCGTTCAACATTGTAACTAGGAGCTTTCTAAATTCTTCTCCAACATTTGCTCTGCTGTCGTGCCTACAGAGTCGGTTGTTGGAGTGCTGTGGGCTGTGGGGTGTGCTCCTTGCTCTTTCCTGCTGCTTGTAGGTCTGACCACCTTCTGGGTTGATTATCTTCTCTGCTTTGATGCACAGTATTCTTTAGTGACCTTCTGTCTCTTAAGAGCCCAGGGATGGGAGAATATCCAGCTACTGATACTGTCATTCAATGTGCGCCCTTAGCTGTTCCCAGGATCAGCACCATTTGGAGACAAGATACTAAGCCCTGTGAACTACAGTCACTTCTAAAATAATGTGAAAAGCATAGTGCAGTAAATGCATAAGCTGTCACATGACCATTGGATGCCATTTGTAAGTAGTAGGTCCTGCGTGTCCTCCTTGTGTAACCCTGCTGTTCCATAACCAGCAGTGCAGGGGTTGGTTCACAAGAGCATCCCCACTACTGCATGAGGAATGCCACAAGGCGGCGCTGGGAAGCTGTGACGTCACCACTACTGCATGAGGAACTCAGCAGGGCAGTGCTGGAAGGTTGTGAAGTCACTAGGCAGGAGGCCCTTTCCAGCTCTGCTGTGATCTATGGGAGCACACACGCAGCCCATGGCTGAAGCACCACAGTGCAGCGCCTGGTGCACAGCAGAATTCCCCGCCACAGGGCGCAGGAGGCCTGCTGGGCCACGGCACACCCTGACGCTGCCCCAGGGTCTCTCTCCTCCCCAGGTGCTGTGCGCGGTCACCGCGGGCGCCCTGCACTACCTCTACCTGGCCTCCTTCACCTGGATGCTGCTGGAGGGGCTGTTCCTCTTCCTCACGGCACGGAACCTGACTGTGCTCAGTTCCTCCAGCAGAAACAGGCTCATGAGGAGGCTCATGTTCCCTGTGGGCTACGGAGTCCCAGCCGCCATCGTGGCCGTGTCTGCAGCAGCCAGACCTCACCTGTATGGCACCCCTGCTCGGTAAATGCGGACCCCACTTGTCCTTCTCCTCCCGAGCATGTCCACAGCCATCACTTGAACCAAAGTAGCATTTTGAGTATTTCAGAGCTTAAGCAGTAGAGTGTACTGTGACATATCACACATACAGGGAGTCTGGCTTCCTGTCCTTGTGGTTGTGTGTGGTGTGGAGTGACTCTGGTCATGGAGTCCTACATGAACACAGCAAAGTGATGTTGTTCTCTCTCTTGCTCAGGTGCTGGCTCAATCCAGAACAGGGGTTTGTGTGGGGCTTCCTTGGACCCGCCTATGCCATCTCTTGTGTGAGTGATGTCATCAGAGTTCCTTGCTGTCCACATGAGGGTCACTAAAGAGCAGGATTATAAGGATGGTGATGAGAACAGGACTATCCTGGATTGTTAAGGGTTGGGTTGGGTTTTCCAAGACTTCTGCATCTACAAATTTTAACGCTATTGTCAAATACTAAAAGCCACTTTGGTGTAAATGATGCTGCAAGGGCTAGAATGCAAAGATAACAGATTTAAATTTTTATTCAATAAAACTTTCCCTGATGGGGATATAGCTTAAGGGCAGAGAGCTTGCCTGGCATGCACTAGGGTCTGGGTTCCCTCCCCAGAACTGCAAAAGAGAAAAGAAGATATTTATAAACCTCCTGGTTCGTTTTTAGTTATACGTGACGGTAGAATCCATTCTGATACAATTACACAAGCATGGAATATACCTTATCTAGTTAGGAGCCCATTCTCGTGAATGTACATGATGGTGGGATTCACTGTGATGCTGTCATATATGTACACAGGAAAATTATGTCAGATTCATGCTGCTGTCTTTCCTTTGTGGTTTCTTGAAGGTCAATTTGGTTTTCTTCCTGATGACCCTCTGGATTGTGAAGACCAAGCTGTCCTCCATCAACAGAGATGTGTCCACCCTCCAGAACACGAGGTGAGATGGAGCAGGGGACACAACCCCACACAGGTGGATGATGCCCAAGAGCAAAGCCATGTGCCTGGGCAGCCCCTCGTGTCCCTCCTTGGGGGCTTCTGAGTGGCCCAGAATTAACAAATGTGGCTGCCCTTCTACGGCTGCCATCTCAGACTCAGGGCTCTGCTGCTGATGTCCCAAAATGCCTCCAATTCTGATCCCAGCTTGTGACTCCCTCAGTCTCAGGAGGAATTGGCGTTGGCTGATCAGCAATGCTTGGACTCTTTTTCAGCTCTTCTACAGCAAAAGTGCCAAGAGCATTGTTCTTCTCCTGACAGTCGCCACATCTCAGGCTGCACTTACTGCCCCACCCTCAGCTCAGAATCCTTCCCACCCTGTAACTAACTGTTCCTCCCTGTAGATAAACGCTACTCCACTTCAGTCCTCCAGGGGGCGGGGTTGTTCCTTCACTCAGCATCTTGGGTAAAATTCTTGCTCTTTATTCTGGGTTCCTCTGATTAACCTTTCAAATTTTTGCATATCATTATTTAGTTGTATTAGACACTTGAACAGAGCATACGATTAGTGAAAACAGAAATTTGGCCTTTGTTTGTTTTCTAAGATAGGGCCTCACTGTGTTTCCCAGGCCAAGTGATCCTCTTGCCTCAGCCTCCTGAGGAGCTGGGGCTACAGGCGTGCACCTGTGCCCACAGCCTCTTGGTGATTTATGTCCAAGCCCTAGCACAGGGCATCCTCAGTAACACTGGTTAATGAAATTAGGGATCTTCATGGAAAATGAGTTTTGGAACTAACCTTATAAAGTATCACTCTCCTGGACCCCAAATGGCATTTCTATTCTCAGGTATCATTGAGAGTAAAGATCAGAGCTCAGTCCAAGAAATCGCTTACAGGGGAGAGTAGATGCATCCAAGGGTGGAGAGGGGAATAGCCTAATTTTGCTGTGGATGCTTTATAAGCCTCCATCCTCCCCAAACCTAGGATGCTGACATTTAAAGCAATGGCTCATCTCTTCATCTTGGGCTGCACCTGGTGTCTGGGTGTCCTGCAGGCCCCCGTCATGGCCTACCTCTTCACCATCGTCAACAGCCTGCAGGGCGTCTTCATCTTCCTGGTGTACTGCCTCCTCAGCCAACAGGTACCCCTGCCCAGCTCCCACCCATGCCTCCCCACCCGCACCCCTCTCTGTGAGCTGACCCAGAGCGTGGGTTGCCTCTGCAGGTCCGGGAGCAGTACAGGACATGGCTCAAGAGTATCAGGAAACAGAAAACTAAACCTGAGTCCTACACTCTGTCTAGCAAGGCTGTTTCCGATGCCTCCTGACCCAGCACGGTAGGGTCACTCCTGCTCCCAGAGCTCACGTTCCCTGGTATTGGCAGGATTTCTCTCCTCCTGTCCACAGACCATGCTTCCCCTGTCTCCTAGACTCCACCATCATGCCTCCCTATGCGCTGACCTTACATGATTCTCTCTCCCTCCCTCCCATCCACCTCCTTCCCTCTTAATATCATTGTGTCCCCACCCTTATCTGAGTCTCCTAAAGACCCTGGTGATGACCTTAGGCTCACCTGGACAATCCAGGATGATTGTCTCATCTCAAGATGCTTAACATGCATGATCCCAGTGATCCATGAAATGCAAACATTGATCTCATAGAAACAAAGAATAGAACAATGGTTCCCAGAGGCTGGGGAGGAGGGGGTGGGAAAAGCTTCATCAGTGGGTATTAAGTTACAGTCAGGAGAAAGAAGCTCTGTGGTGTGTCGCACAGTAGGTCACTAGACCACAAAGTGCACTATGCCTTTCCAACAGCTCTGAGGGGCTGGGGGCCACTCAGTGGGAGGCCCTTTACTGGTACGTCCAAGGCCCTGGGCTCTATCCCAGCACCAAGTCTCTATAAAATACAAAGAAAGGATTTTGAGAGTTTTTACCACAAGTAACTAATGCATGTTGGAGAAGATAGTTTTGTTTAACCTGATGAAAACACTCACACTGTACACAGGCAGGAAACATCACATTATACCATAAATATGTGCCATCTAAGTAGATTTAATGTAAAATTAGATTTTTAAATCTTTAACATACTCCTTCTTGAGAAGTTCCTTTTCCAGGCATGGTAACACTCACAGGCTATGGGGTTAGGATGTGGACGTCTGTGGGGTCATTATTTTGTCTATCACACCAATTACATAGGTTGGCTTTCTCTCTCATGGAACTGAAAAAAATCCTGCCTCATGTTGTAGATAACTGAATAGATTCACCACCCCCTCCCTCCACCACAGCCCTAGGAAAGATATACACATTCAGGAAGAGAAATGTCAACTTTTTAATCTAGAAAATAGGAAGCCATCAGTTGGGGAATGAAGGCTTCTGAAATTCAGGTGATATGATCAGGTGTTTCTACCATCTTGGGCACTGGACTGCGAGGGTCCACTCTGTTGGTGGCCTGATGTCATTTTATCTTCCAGTGTCTCCTTAAACGGGGCATCTCCAGGATGTCAGTTGATGGACTCTCTTCCTCTCATTTTGGAATCCCTCCCTTGGCTCATTTCATAAAAACAAAACATTTTGTCCTGTAACCAGTTCTGAATAATTTTCTGAAACACAGCATTCATAAGGCTCCAGTGAATCAGCCTCACTTCTGAGAAAGTACAAAATCAGCAAAATGAAATCCCATGTGGCCTCTTGATCATGCCCTGATAAATCCATCAGGCAAGAAAATATTGTGATTGAAGTGTGTGTGTGTGTGTGTGTGCATGCGTGCAACATCATACCCCATAAAGGTAGATGATTATTATTTGTCAATTGAAAATTTTCAAAATCAGGGAGCAAGATGGTTGCTAAGACCCTCCATTGGTCATCCCCCAGGCACAATGGCTTAACAGCTATAATTTACAAACTCATTGTGTATTTCTGGGGTGTGCCCCATGAATATACAGAAAAAAAAAATGGTTACTGTAATAAAGGAAATCAACTTACCCATCATCTCACATTCATGTTTGTAAATGAGCAGCTGAAATCTCTTTATCTAACAAATCATTTCTTTCCTTTTTTAAATTGAAGCTGTGGGTTGTTTTTCAATAATCTTATGTCATTTTTAAATAATTATCATTCCAGACTAATTAGAAAGATTGCTGGAGCTACATCCTCCTTCCCCATGGAAAATCTGAACCTCCATTTTTTAGCCATTAGGACAGGACAAAGACTCTGTGCTGTGTGTTTCAAGAAACCCATGGTGTTGGCCATGTGAAGGGATTCTTGGAGGACATGATCGACATTCAATACCTGCAGAACCTGAAATCTGTCCATGCCCGACATGGTGCTGGGCAAACTCAACATCCAGATGCCATCTGCCGCCCAATTCCTCAGTTTCTCTGTTAAACGTTCTTCTACTGCCCCCTCCCTTCCTATGAGGCCTCTTCCATGCAAAAATTCTAGAAGCAAGAAAACCAGTCTCCCAGGATGCTCACAACCACAGCATTCAAAAGGAATAGAACTCGCCTTAAACTTTTTGTGAAAAAATAAAATAGAAATAGAAAAAAATTATAAAAATAAAATATTGTGGTGCCTACAAGGAAGAGACCTTGCTCTATGTGGGACGTGGGCTTCTGAGGATGTGGAAGGCTCCCCAGAATGCCATATTCCACTATAGATCTTCCATAGTCATGTAGAGGCCAAATTGCCAAGAAAATTGTTCCCCAGATAATTGCCTGACAGACATGTTAGTAAGTAAGAAGTAAAGAGTAGGAGACAAGACTGGGAAGACAGGGAGATGGGCCTGGGTCACTTCCTGGGCAGTGAGTACAAACAGCACCTGCAGATATTTGCTAAGAAACTTACAAAAAGGCTATTTTTAAGTCAGGACCTATGTGACTCTGGTCCGTGCCTTTCCAAGGAAGGAAAAAGGCCTGATGGACATATTGATTGGACAAAAGGCTTCATGGACACCCCGTGGACACTGCATGAATGAATATACTTTGTGACTTTTTCTAATTGTGCTAATTAATGCAAGTAATGGCTTCTTTGTCTTGTAGGGCTTCTACAGAACAAGCAGTTGTCGTTTGGTATCAGGGTTAACATAGACTTGGCACATTTATTTTCATGTGATTCCCAATAATTCATATGCATTGCAAATAGGTGAGATTTCAAAATTACTGATGATATTTCTGGGTGATGAATTGGGTGAGTCAATTTCTTCATTGATTGGTCCATTATTCTTTTTAATTAAAAATTAACCAAGCCTATAGAAAATGGGGCTTCCTCATCATTGATGGAAATTATACAGATCTGGCTTTTAACATTTCACCTAAATGGTGGTTATTACCAGGACATTTCAAAGTGAAGCACAAAAGTCATTCCTAAGACACCTGAGATCAGGAAGGCTCTGACCAGGTGCAGGGAGTCCCCTAGGTCCAGTCAGCTTTGGGGACTAAATTAGGTTTGGTGACTGGGATTTCCAGCTGGTGGTGGCAACAAAAGGGAACTAGTGGCACTAAGGAACCCCAGTGTGACCCACAGCAGAGGAGGGGCCACCAAGCCAATGCCTCCTAGAGCACTGGGTCCATGCCCAGGCAGCCAGGGTCCTGAGGTGGCCATGGACTTCTTCTAGCTGCCGCTTGGCCCCTGGGGACATTTACTTTACAGGGAACCAGAAAACCACACGGGGACTCCAGGATTTCTCCTCCAGGGACTTTCTGAGAAGCCAGGGATGCAGTCGGTTTTCTCTGGGCTGTTCCTGTCCTTGTACCTGGTGACCATCTTTGGCCACCTGCTCATTATCCTGGCCACCATCTCAGACTCCCACCTGCACACGCCCATGTACTTCTTCCTGTCCATCCTGTCCTTTTCTGCCCTCTGCTTCACCTCCTCCACCATCCCCAAGATGCTGGTGAACATCCAGACACAGAGCAAGGCCATTACCTACGCAGGCTGCATCACCCAGATGTGCTTCTTCACTGTTTTTGCACTGCTGGACATGGGACTTCTTACTGTGATGGCTTATGACTGCTTCGTGGCCATCTGCCGGCCCCTGCACTACACGGTCCTCAGGAGCCCCAGGCTCTGTGCTCAGTTCTTCTCCTGAGCTGGCTCATCAGTGTGCTGGGAGCCCTTCCTGAGAGCGTGAGTGGACTGAGGCTCTCCTTCTGCACAGACGTGGAAATCCCACACTCTTTCTGTGAATTCCCTGAGGTCCTCAAGCTCGCCTGCTCTGATACTTTCATCAGTAGTGTCATATTGTACACAGTGACAGGCATCATGGGGTTTTCCCTCTTGCTGGGATCCTTTTCTCTTATTCTAAAATTGTGGCTTCTGTCCTGCGGATCTCCACAGCAGGAGGGAAGTACAAGGCCTTTTCCACCTGCGGTTCTCACCTCTCAGTTGTCTCCCTGTTCTATGGAGCCTGCCTGGGGGTCTACCTCAGCTCCACAGGGACACGCGCCTCCTGGACAGGGGTGTTGACCTCCACCCTGTACACCCTGGTCACCCCCATGGTGACCTTACAACTTTTCAGCTCCTTCCAGTTTTTGAATAGGGTTAACGAGCAAAAGCAGTGTGTCTGCGTACATGCTATCATTCCTTTTAAAACCTTAAAAGAATTAAAAATGCTTGTGGTACTTATGACCCTAATTCTCCATTTATACAAAGCTTGCTCGACTCGATTTGCCAAAAACCCCTTCCGCCCAATGACTGGGTGTCCATGGCCAAGGCTTGTCTGAATGGCGGTGACTGCCTTCTCTGGGGGTCTTACTGGACTGATTTTTGTACCGAGCATTTTGAGAGAAACATGAGACAGAATCATGAGACCCCTTTGGAGATATTGATGGGAACAGGTGAATTTGCAGATTTAGAGAGGCAGTTCAACTATGATTTGGAGGTTTATGATCAGATTAATTCACGTGCAAACAAGGCCTGGCAGCCAATTTCTTCCCAGGATCAGTCTAATCTGGTTTGACTAAGATAAATCAGGGCTCAGAAGATCCGTTCTCCTACTTTGTAGTGCGCTTGCGCCAAGCAGCTCACAGGTCCATGGGGGACTCAGGTGCCTGTGAGTTGGTTGGTAAGCAGCTAGCATTGGAGAACTCAGGTAAGGCCTGCCAGGACATCCTCCTGCCTCATAGAGAAAAGGGGACCCTCTCAGAATTTGTTTGCCTTTGTGCAGACAACGGCCCAAGCCAATGACAAGGTTTTACACTCGTCATGGGTTTGAGGCAGGTACTGCAGCCCCAACCCCGGGATGCCATTCTCATGGGTGTTGGTAAAGACGGTGCACCCAGGGCTTCTGTTCCAGGAGTTTAGGTCTGTGATGTACTGAATGGTGGGAACTTTGAATGGTGGGCAAACCATCCCTCCAATCCCTATGAATGGCACACCTCCAATCCCTGAAGTGGCACCAACTCTCAGCCAATAAAGAAGTAACATCCCACTCCCCCCATGCTCCCCCTCCCCCCATGGTGAGCCCATAAATATCAACACCATGTTCATTCTCTCTCTCTCTCTCTCTCTCTCTCTCTCCCCCACTCCCTCCCTCCTTCCCCCTCTCCGTCTCCCTCCCCCTCTCCCTCCCCCCTCCCTCTCCCTCTCTCTCTCCCCCATCCCCCTACCCCTTCTCTTCTGTGACTGGCCACTATGGTCCCGCTAATAAACTCTCAGGCAGGTAAATGGTTGTTTGGCTTGTTGAGTTTACGGAGCTTTTCCGCAGTTCCTATATTGGTGCCGAAACCCAGGATAGGGATCCCCGTTGCTAAAGACAGAACCCCATTCCCAAACTCCGAGCCTAACCATTCCTGTTGCAGTCCACTCCTCTGATCACCTGCCTGACATCCACCACCGGCCTGCATATTGGTGAGTGCCCCTCTCCCATGAGCTACTGAACCCCAACTCACCAGAACCAGGGAATTGGCCCTTGAGTGTCCGGCAATCCCTCCAGGTGATTTAGGGGGGAATGCACCCCACCCACACCCATCAGGATAGCGGTGGACCCTGGGCACTCTGCGAGCACAACCCTGGGAATCGACCACCTGGGATGTAGATGAATTCTCCCTTTGTGACTCCTCCATCTCCCCTCGCTTCGGCTCCCATGGACGGGGTAGCGCAGTTGCTACAGCCCATCTCACCCGAGCTCTGACTCCATTCCACCCAGAAATCCTTCAAACACTCTCCTTCTGACTCTTTCATTCCACTCAAAAAACTCTCCTGACGTCGGGTTTCCTGCGGCCTCAGCTCTATTTGGGTCTCACAGATTGCACTCCCCTGCTGACGACCTGGCAGTGCCCTCTATTTCTCCGTGGCAGTCGGCCATTTTGGAGACACCCACAAGACCCTCCATCCACTTGGGAGCTTCCAGAAAGTTCTTTCCAGCCCTGGCGTGCTCTCTCTCTCTCTCTCTCTCTCTCTCTCTCTCCCATCTCACCCTTCCAGCATGGGAAATTCCTCGTCCCTCCCGACCGATTCTCCCTTGCCGAGCCTCTTAGATAGTTTGAAAACCCTGAGCCTGGCCCCTGATATTAAACCTAAAAGGCTCATAAAATTCTGTACCATGGACAGGCCTGCACACCCCCCTGGACATCCAAAATGTTGGTCCACGTGTGGGTCTCTGGATCCCAGTTTACTCCTCGATCTTTTAATTACTGTGAGCAAAGAAGTGGAAGTAGATTCCCTATGTGGCGGCTTTTTCCTTGCTAGGATCTCACCCAAATCTCTGCACACAGTGCAAGCCTCAGCACCTACTCCTTGCTCTCCAGCCCCCTTCCTCCTCTTCTCCTCCACTCTCTGCCTCCACACCCCCCCCCCTTCATTTTCTTCTCTGCTCTCCACCTCCACTTTCCACCCGGCTGATGAACCCCTCCATACCACTCCCCCCCTCAGCCCTGCTCTCCCCAATTTCACCCCCTCCCACTTCCCCATCCTCTACATCTGCAGCTTCTTCTTCTGTGGACACTCCTCCTCCTCCTCCCCCTCCTCCTCCTCTTCCTCCTCCTCCTCCCAACACTCCCCCACAACCTCCTCCAATTTCTGTTCCTTCCTCCCAGGTCCCTCCACCTCAGTTTAGTCCACCCGCCACCCATTCACTCACTAATGCAGCACCTAACCCACAAGTCACCACATCTCATCACCCGACTCAAACTTCACAGGTTGTGGCCCCACTTCAAGAGGTCACCAGGCCAGATGGGATTTTTAAGGGTTTACGTTCCTTTTTCGATGCTTGACCTTTCTCAACTAGAAAAAAACATTTCTGATCTTACACTGCAAACTGTCTCTTACATTAAAGAGTTTCAATATTAGCCCAAGCCTACAGCCTCACCTTTCATGATCTCTATGATTCTGTCCAATACTCTCCTCCCTGAGGAAAGGAGAAGTGTCTGGGACCACAAAAGGGCCTATGCACACCAGGTTCATCAGACTGATGCCCACCATCCCCTAGGGGCCCAGGCAGTTCCAAACCAAGACCCCATTGGGGTTATAATGACCCCAAGACCTGGGACGCAGGGACAATCTCATTGCCTGTCTGACAGCTGGCCTAAAGGAGGTGACACAAAAGGCTATTAACTTTGATAAACTCCAGGAAGTTATCCAGGAGAAGAATGAAAACCCCTCAGCCTTCCTAGATGGACTGACAAGGCTCTCTTCAGTACACTAACTTGGACCCTGAATCCCCGGATGGGAAGCAACTTCGTATGACCTGTTTTTTCTCACAAAGCTCCCCTGAAATATGGGCAAAGCTAAAAACAATTAGAGAGGTTCCCTTGACTCCTCAGATGGAGGTGCTGGCCACGGCTTTCTAGGCCTATCACCACTGAGATGAAGGAGCAAAACGCCAAAAATGCCAGATGTTGGCCCAGGTGTCCCAGGGCTCCTTCCAACCTATGGAAAGGGGGAGACAACAACCCCCACAACGAGGAACCCCTGGGCCCTGCTTTAAGTGTGGTAATGAAGGACACTTGGCTACGGCTTGCCCTAACCCCAGGGCACTGCCCAGACCATGCCCCAGATGCCGACGTCCTGGACACTGGGGATCGGACAGCCCCAATTCCCGGAGGGGAGCTGAAGTCAGTTCCCCGGCAGTGACTTGCTGGGCCTAGCAACCAAGGATTGATGGGGCCCTGGGTCTTCTGTCCTAGCCTATTCAATCACCAAGCAGGAACCCAGGATGGTTATCTGAGTGGATGGGCGTCCCATAAACTTTTTGGTAGACACCAGGGCCACAGTCTCGGTTATGATAGAGTTTTGAGGAATCACCTATCCCCCCAAATCTCCAATTGTCGGGGTAGGGGGTAAAATCATCATCCCACGCAGAACTCCTCACCTTCTCCTTTTCACACCATTTTTAGGTTATGCCTCGGTGTCTGGTCCCCTAGCTGGGAAGGGATATATTATCCATCTTGAAGGCCTCCAAAACCTTACCCTTATTGCCCTCCCCTACTCATATCTTCATCATGGCTTTACTCCCTGATGAAGAAGAGACTTTACCTCTTTGTATCTGGTGTAGAGACCCCAACGACCACCAGAACACACATTCTCCCCTCCCCTGTAAAAGAGTAGATCCAATTGTGTGGGACACTGAAACCCCATCCTCGGCAAATTGCTCTCCCATGGAAGTGCATCTTAAAGACCCTAACCACTTCCAAAACCAGGCCCAATACACACTGCCAACTGCCACTCTTAAGGGCCTAAAGCCAATCATTCAGAGCTTATTAAGAAAAGGGTTCCTCCATCCCACACACTCTCTATTCAATACCCCAATTTTAGCAGTAAAAAAGCCTAACAGAACATACCATTTGGCGCAGGAATTAAGATTAATAAATTGTTCAACCAGCCCTATACATCACCTGGTTCCAAACCCTTCTACTATCCTTTCCTCCATTCCTGCAAACTCCATCTGTTTTTCAGTTACTGGTCTTAAAGATGCCTTCTTTTCTATTCCACTATCCGTCTCTTCTCAACACATATTTGCCTTCACCTGGACTGATCCAGAAACTATGCATTCCGACAGACAACCTGGACTGTCCTGCCCCAGGGGTTTCAAGACAGCCCACATATTTTTGGACAAGTCCTCGCTGGAGATCTTGAGGATTTTTGCCCTCTATGCACCAAATCAACCCTCCTACAATATGTTGATGACCTCCTCCTCTGAAGTCCCTCATTAAAAACCTCAAAGTCTGTCATAGCCTGAACTTTCTTGCTCACAGCGGATACAGGGTTTCTCCACAAAAGGGGCAGCTTGCTCTCTCTCTCTCTCTCTCTCTCTCTCTCTCTCTCTCTCTCTCTCATTATTTACTTAGGGTTCCACATTTCCCCAGGGAAGATACTGATAGAAAAGGTCACACTGCAGTTGAGCGACATATGTCTTTCACAGCAACAGGACTTTAGGCCAAGTTTGGGGGAAGGACTT